CGTGTAGGATGAACCCCTCAGGGTTCAAAAAGCAGTCCTGGGGCTAAAGGCTTCACCCAGAGCAGCCTCTGCACCCGCAGTGAGTGCACTCAATGATCCTCCCCTGGAAAAGAAACACGGGGAGGGGGTTTCAGCCAGGCTACGTGAGCAGACAGAGCAGCAGGCTCGGACCTCAAGGCAGAGAACGGGTCTGCGTGGGAAGGGCTTCTACCGGCTCCGTTTCTCTTGTTCCCCCTACTTTAACAGCTTTAAACCACCCCGTGCCCAAGCTGACAGTAACTTCAGAACCAGTTAGGGACCAACTCCACCAGCAAAGGCAGAAAGTGTCAGAACTAGAGGAAATTACCAGGAGGAACAGCGCTACCTCCTCCGCTGACCCTGACCTGGGAGAAGTTAGACCGGGTACCGCAAAGGTCCGGACAAGTAGAGGAACAAGCTGAAAACTCTTACCACTTCCAGCTTGCTTTTGGGGACCCTGCAGATGCAGTTGGTGCCAAAGTTGGTGTCCCGGGTCTGGATACAGCGCAGGCAGCAGAGGTTCTCGTAACCCTGCTTCTTCCACTTGGCAATCAGGTTTTTGTCAGCGTAGCCTTCCTTGATGCAGTACTCGTAGAGCTCTGTCGAGGAGCAGACGCCATCGCAAGTAGCTCTCAGGAAGCGTTAAAGACTCCCAATCAGGAGTTACTAGCTGTAGTTACTAGCTGTAGTAACTGGCAGTTCAAGCCAGGCAGCTGCCAGCCTTCCCTCCATCCTCCCTCCCCCAAAACCTGACCCTTCCCACCAGCACCCCCGTTCAGGCACACCCGTGGGCGGACGTTTTACTCCGTTCTGTCTTCCCCTGCCCAGGGGAAAGCCCCTGCGCTCCTCACCTCTGCTGATCGCTTTTCTTTTATAGAAGAGATCAAAGATGTAACGGGTTTTCTGGTGATGAATCCTGAAGATAGGCCAAAGGGATTCCACTTTCCTCTTCCCTTCGTGAGGCTCGGTCTCCGCTGGGAGGGAACACAAACACAGGGTTTCAGCTGATCATTTCACACATCCCACTTACTTCCTTTGTCACTTTGCAACAAACTGTGCCAAGAAGATTAGACATGACAGAGATAAGACTGAGCTTAATGGGAGAAGATTCAACCAAAAGGGACCTGACCTGGAACAGCTTCTTTAGGAAACAAAACCAGAATGACAGTGGGAATGACGTGACCTGCACCAGGATGGCAGGTGGCTTCGTGGCTGCCATGGCTCATCGGACCAGAGCAACGGCATGGACGGGAACTACCAGTCCCTCCACGCACACCAGTGAGCTTCAGCCAGGGCTCGGCCCCAGTGTGCCCTAAACCAGCTGTACAGCAAACCCCTGGGCTCGGTAACCAGTGTAGGCCCAGAAAAAGCGACCAGTACCGGCCCAGTCTCAGCCTGCAGCACCGCTGCCACGCGGAGGTGTAAAAAAGGTCAATGTACGTTTGTGGGGGAAGCCGTGGTTCCTGAGGCAGTTGAGATCAGCTTGTTTGAGGGTCACATCCCTGAGAGCACCCAGCTCTGCCGCTTACCTTCTCGCATCTTCTGATCCAGCTCATCCAGCGTTGGCTCGATCAGCTCCCAGCCATCCGGGGGAGGCTTCCTGCTCCTCTTCACCTTGGGCATGGCCTCAGGAACGAGGAAGGTGAAAGGCGAGGCAAGGAGGCTTTGCCAGCAGGAGCTTCCACGTCCTGAGAACCACTGGAAAAATCCCGAAAGGAAAACCGTTGTTACAGATTCCTCCTAAAATTGCTGTGGCCCTTTTGCACTTCGACGATAAAAAGGAGCTTTGTGGAGCTCGGGAAAAAGGTCACATCTCGCCCAGCGCGGCCCTGGGGATACCAGCAGGCCCTGGGGGGAAGCGCTGCATCCGCCTCACCCTAAAAAACCCGGTTTTTTCTCCTCAGCAAAGGGAGC